AATAACCTGCCGCGTTCGCTACCGGCCATGTCTTTCGCTAGGGGTTTTGTTCCGTTTTGCTCTGCCCGCTGCTGGTGAGGAAACGGGAGCGAGGGTGCTCGGGGTGGGCTGCAGCTGCGGAGCCTGTACCCCGGCCCCAGCCCTGCCCGCCAGCTCCCCGCGGTGACCGAACGGGAGCGCTTCTCCTCAGGCCTCCTGCTCTGGAGTGAGCAGGACGCGGCTCTACCCCGCAGCGCGCTTCCTTAGCCTTGAGGCTTAGCTCCCATATTTATCTGCACCCGCTGTGAGAGTCAGACCCCCTTTCCTTTAAAATACACAGTGATGATGTTTTTTCTCATTCTTCTGTTCTGTTTCCAGTTAAAGTGTTATAGACATTGTCTTATTTCCCACGATTTTTTATTCTCCGACCTGGCCTCCCCGCACTATTGCAGAAATGCTAGTGCTATACCAACGGACGGCGTAGGACTTCAGATGGGGATGAGCGGCACAATCTCCAGGGGCTTCCGAGATGTCTTGGGTGTTGCGGCCTGTGCTCCTGTAAAAAGGCAGTGGAATTGCTTTCTTGCTCTCGTCAGTCTTGATGTCAGGTTTTATGATCATGTTTTCAGACTTCTCATATCTTAAAGAATTGTTCTTGGAGTATAGCAATAGCCGTGAGAATCTTTAAAATTCCCCCATTAAAATTTCCAGCAACCCGGTATTTTAATTTTAGGAGAACAGCCAACCTTTCCTTACTTCGGTCCCCAAGAAGCTTAGAACCGAAAGAAAGAAATGTCAACCCTAGATGCCGTTGTACATGTTAACTGCATTTTCCTTTCTTAGTCCCCAGGACAGAGTTTGGTTTTGCTTTTAGAATAATATTGCCCTCCTGTGGTCAAACAACAGCATGTCTGGGAAGTATCGTCAAAGGTCTGTTTAAATGTCATTGGAATAGGGTTAATTATTTCGTGTGCATATAGCTCATTTCCTAAAACAAAAGTCTTTTCTGTGCTTACTTGCTCTTACAGTTTCTTTATTACAGCTCACCGTTACAGATTTAGATCGCTTCCGGTCCAATTCACTCTTTTATATTCTGATCAGACTGGCCGGCCGGAAGGATTCAACAAGCTTTACTCTGAAATGAATACACGATTTTAACACTGGCGTCCACGAAGACTCAACAAAAGACACCTTCATTACTTCGGAAGGCCTCCGGGTCAGCTACCCCATTACAGGTCAGTTCAAAACCTAAAATATATTTTCATGTAAGGAAAGATTAAGTTAGAGAGGTGCAGAACAGCATTCCTCCTGCACACTGCAAATTATAAGATCAAAGCCTGGATTATCTCATGTGGGCCCAGCAGATGACTCATCGATACCATCATAAGACAATTTACTTCAAAACACCTACAATACTTAGCCAAGTTTTAGAGTTGTATAACACTGTGGGTTGTTGATTTGATATTTTGTCACTCCCTTTTTATTCTTTCTTCTGCCTTTCTTCCTAATCATTGGAACTTAGTTTGTCAGTTTATACAAAGCTGGAATTCATCTGGCAGGATAATTGGACCTTCTAGCAAAATGTCACATTATGTAGGAATTATGGAGAGTGGCCCTGCAAAACTAGTTAATAGAAAAGAGGTTTAATTGCTACTTGACTAATATTGATCAAATGCAGTGATGCTACCTATGCATTTATATGTTACCTACCACTGTAACCTGACCTGCGCAATACAAACAGTCCCGTGTTTGCATTTGCTCAGATGAATAGACATGAATTTCAGTGAGATGCTTCTGCTGAAACAACGCTGCTCAGGTGAATGCTTTTTTGTTGGACTCTGCTGTGGGTGATGATTCTCTGTGAGTGACGGGGTTTGAAGGCTTGTGTGGAAGGCTTGTGGCGCACAACTTGGCACCTCTTTATGGGCTTTTGAAAATAAGCATGAGGCTCTGGATCATCCAACCCTGTCCTTGCTGCTACATCACAGAAGTGTTGGTAAAAGGGACTTCCGGAGGTCCCTAGTCCACCCTTCTGCTCAGGGCAGGACTATCACTAAGGCAAGATCAGGCTGGCCATAGTTTTGTCTAGCCAAGTCTTTAAAACCTCCAAGGAGGGAGACCACGACCCCTCTGGGTAGCCATGTCCATAGCATGACTGACTTGCAAGGAGAGCACACTGGTTGCTCATATTCCCCTTGACGTTCATCCAGACCCCCTCTCTCCTTGTCAGCAGGGCTGCTACTCAGCCAGTCGGTTCCCAGTCTGCCTTAATGCCTGGGGGTCCTGCCCCAGCTGCAAAACTTCTCACTTCTCCTTGCTGCACATCACGAGGATTCTGTTGGCCCTGTCCTCGAGTTTATCACGGTTCCTCTGGCAGGTTGTTCCACCATTCAGTGTGTCAGCTACTCCCCCCAGTTAGTGTCATCCACAAAGTTACTGAGGATGCACTCTGTGCTATCTCCAGAAGCTTATCCCACCAAAGAAGCTGTGGGAAGCACGGACCCCCAGTATGGACGCAGGGCTTCCCTGTTCGTTACCGGCTGCCAGCTGGACACTTGAGCCACTGATTTCTACCCTCTGAGCCCAGCGGCTGAGCTGGTTTTTAGCCGGTCTAGCAGTATATTTGCCCAATTTCTTCAGCTTGCTAATGAGAATGGTGCCACAAACCTCACTGAAGTCAAGGTAGATTACATCTGCCACTCTCCCCTTGTTCCCATAGCCAGTCACCTCAGCCTAGAAGGCAGCTGTAATTGTAATCCTGTGACTGATTAATATTCCTGGCTCTTTCTCCTCTTATGTCATTTCCAGCTGAAGAGCTCATACATTTTTGCTATTAATCCCAAAGAGCATGACCTTGTATTCTGCAGTACTGAATTTCGCCCCCTTTCTATTATTCCAGTCGTCAAGGCTGGCAACTTTTCATCTTCTCTAGAATGCTATGATCCTCCTCTGTATTTTAAATGACTGTCAACTTTGACTGCAATTTGACTCGGAATAGGGAGCTTGAGGAATTGCAGCATGAAAGGAAGTAGACTTGGCACGGACTTGGCTTCAGGGTAGTACTGTTCCGCACTGAACTACAGAAGGATTTTTCTGGTCAAAATTTTTTCTTCCCCACAATCCCCAGCACATGGGAAAATCATTTTCAAAAGGTATATAGGGAGTGAAGGGAGTGTGACCTAGAAAAACTAGTAAGAGGCATATGTCAAATGTAGTTAATTTTTTTTACTAATGATGCTGATCTATATATATAAAAAATGCTGAGCAGAACACTTATCTTCCCTGTGTTTGGCCTTAGGCTACATTCCCCATCAAAGGCAAAGAGACCTTGTTGACACTTTCCTGGTGAGCAAATCAGTCATGAGAGCAACATATTTCTTCTCCAAGAAACATACAGAAAACAGTGTATTGGAAATTAGGACTCCTGGGTTTCCAGAGCTCAGCATATTCTCAAACAAAGATACTCGGACTCCATCCTTTCTCTCTTGCTGGCCTAGCAAACCTGCTATGGAGCTCTCTGCTCTAATGGTACCACTTCTGCCCACCGTCATCCTCTTTCCCAGTGACCGCTGCAGGAGTGCCACGGTGAACAGAGGGGAAAGCCCCTGCACACCCGCTCGTGCACGGGACTCGTCGCATCTGAGCGGTGATCAGTTGGTCCCTCCCACCTGCAGATATTTTATCTTTTACAAAGTGTGAATGAGACAGTGTGGTAATTTTATGCAAATCCATGTGCGGATTAAAAAATAATCAAATTCTAAGATTTTTATTTGAAGAGATTAGTCTTGAAAAATCCCCCATCTAATCCTCCTAGAATAGTCACTTAGAACAAACCTTCATCTTCTTGTTTTCCTCCTGGGTCCTGTGCATCTCCCGGCAAACTTTCTCATAAATGCTTTTGGGACCATCTGAGGCAGCAAGTTTGAGTCTGAGCAAGGCTCACCAAGCGAATTAAATTTGATATATCAAGTGATAGAAGAGACGTGTCAGTAAATGGGAACGTGGGAGGTCAGTGCAGTAAAATCTGGACTCTGTTGTACTCCATAGGTAAACTCCCGTGATAATGCATGGAAAATGGAAGAGCTAAGCCTTGATGAGTCTAATGGTAATTTAGATACCAAGAGGCCAGAAGAAAGTCACGTAGCAAGAAAAACGAGTAGCAGGAGACTCTGCTAAGACTTGCTATAACTACTCTTCTACTACTGTAACAGGGATGTAATCTGTCTTCTGCTCAAATTATGCTTGAACAATTGGGGTTTGATCCAATGCCATCTCAAGTCTTTCTGGTCCCCTCAGAGATTTTTGGGGTCGGCTCTGTACATGGTGGGCCAGCCACCGATCGTTGCCACATTGGGGGAAATCCAGAGAAATCCCAGTGACGATTAGAAGAAACCAACTTAGATCCATGAAGACAGCAGCTAAATTAGACCTCCCGGGACGTTAATATTCAACGTCCGCAGACCTTGCAGCACGTTTGCCCGTGGGGCTATGTGACTGGGTCAGCCTGCAGCAAGCCCGATTGCTTTGACTTCAAAAAAAACCCCCACAAGCCCATAATGCAGACTCTTGAGAAAAAGACCCTCCAAACACAGCTCTGCCCAGCAATGGCAGACTGGCCCCTGGAAGGGAGTATTTTTCTGACTTTCAAATACCTGCTGTGGAGTGAAGGGCTGGCTCATTTTTCTCATTGCATAGGCACAGCCAGCTCGTTTGTGCACTGTCTTCCTCCACAGTGTGAGTCCAGCTTTACGGCTCAGGCTATGCCTCCCTGTGTCCATGCCTTTGGTCTCATGCCACCATCCAATTTACCTGGCAGCTTACCATGTTTCTGCCCCTGGTGCTGGATTGTTCCTGTCTCCTTCTGACTTTGGCTCCTTGCCTGCGGAATTACTTTAATTAAAAAGTTAATGAAAGATAGTGCCAACAAGTGTTTTGCCTATATTTTAGCACACTCCAGCTCCTCTCCCTCCCTCTTTCCCAGAGAAGGTGAAAATCAGGAGCTAGGTGTTTGCTGCCTTTTGCTGTGGGAGTTAACAGTGGAAGTTACTGCAGACTTAGGAGGAGCCCTGTGAAGAAAGGGCACTCACGCTTATAATGGTAATGCATGCAAACAGGAATGTAGATGGCAAACATTATTCATTAACAACAGCTGAGGGAGTTTTCATTTAAAGGGGATTAATCTAAAACCCTTGCAGTCCTCCTGTCTTTTTGGAACAGGTGATTCTCAGCATCATTTTCCTCCTAAGGTTAATGTGAACTTCTGGAAAACTTTCCAAAAGGATATTCTCCCAACCCCAAATTGTCCCGAGCAGGGACAAAGGGCTGGGGTAAAATCTGAGCCGCCCTAGTGCCTGTAGTATGCAGCCTTATGTCCATATGGAAGAGGGTTTGTTCATCTCTCTGTGAGCTCCCCGGGGCACTGGGAAACTAAGATTAGCTGGTGCGCGAAGCAATGCGAGTCACATCACCAGCCCCTTCTCCTAGCCCAGGTTTCTCCCAGGCAGCAGTGGGGAGAGGAGAAGGCAGGGATGTGAGACTGTAATTTCCCCATGTGCTAGACAGAGCAGCTAACTCTGGCAATTACATTATTTCTAGACCCACCATCCCTGGCAGTAGTCTGAGAGCTGCCATTTGGATTATTTTTCTTTCCAAGACTGCCTGCGCATGGGTGTGGGGTGATGTTCAGTTCCCTTGATCTTGTTTTTAAAGCCTTAGCGAAATGAGTAAGGATTTTATTTTTTAATATGGGCAGTGGATTTCGTAGCCCTGATTTATAGCTGCTCCCTAATGACATTCAGTACCCGGTGCCTGAGATCGTATAAATAAATTACATAAAAATGGATTTGTGACATCATGAGCAGCACCCCCAGTCCAAGGGGAGCCTCTGGTGTGCCCGCTGTGCCTAATCAGAGCTGACGGGGAGCGGAGCTGCACGCCGAGCGCTCCAGAGCTAATGGGTATGTGCCAAATTCAGCGCGCCGCTGTGCCGGTGCAAAGCCGGAATAACTGCAGACTGCAGGGGGGATTACTCTGGATTTACACCTGCGAAGCCGAGATCAGTCTCAGGGCTGCTGTGCAGACAGCGCGTCCAAAGATCTTCAGGAGCAATGGAAAGGCACGACAGCAGACTCTGGAGCAGGCCTTGACGGTTCAAATATAATCTGAGTTCGGAGGGCAGGAAGCAGATTACATGCCTGCTAGTGCACTGGACTGCTTTCCAGAGCAAGCTTTAGCAATATGTAGGCAAGTGCTGGATGAATGAAGCTGGCATTTATTTTTTTCAGCTCCAGGAGGAGAGGACTGCTTTTGAACGACTCGCGCCTGCTGCGTCGCATCTGGAGGCAGAGACTCTGCGCGGAGCCGAGCGGTGCCGCCGGGAGAGCGCGTGGGACGGGAGCCGCCGTTGCAGGTCTGGTTGTGGCCGGTTCCCCTCACTTTCGGGGTCAGCCGGGAAACCGTCTCACCCCGGCAGAGAGGGAGGCTGTTAAAAGCTTTGAGGCGCTATCTTCTTAAGCTTCTCCAGCTCCATTTTGGCCTTTTTCTCCAGCCACTTGTGCAACGTGGCTGAGCTACAGCTGGCGGGCCAGAGCCTGACACGCCGCCGGTTGGTGACACTTCCCTCCCGTTGCCCTGGGCTGCCGGTCTCCGTTCCTGAGGGAAGCGGGAAGGACACGTTCGCTTTTATTCCCGTCGCTCCTCATGACTGAACAAGCCAGGCGCCTTCTGAGCACTGTGCAAAGGGAGTTTAGCTAGGTGGTTTATCTACCTTGGGTTTTGCCTTTAAGACATGTTTCGCCTAAGCATTGAATAAGTCATTATTGTCTCTCGCAAACCTATGACTCACCATATGGTTTTATCTGCAAGCCCTTTTCCTGATAGATCGCGAAGCACACCCAAGCTGAGGAGGTGCTTGTACAGAGGCTTTTACAGAGCCTTTGGGTCTGTCCCCTGTCACTGCAGCAAAATAAGGCAGGTCCAGACCCAGAGGAGCTGTCGCAAAGCTCGTCTGGCTTAATGATTAACACCTCACGCTGCTGCGGGAGTGCTGGGGCAGAGAGACCTCTGGACTCGTGAGCTCCCCGAGAAGAGGAGCCCGCCTCTGGCCTTGCGCCGAGACCCGTCCCTCTACAGGCGCGAGGATTGGCGGGCAGGTAATTTGGACGGTTCTGTGGTTGCCTACAACACTAACACTTACCGAGGACCAGCTCCGGCGGGCTTTCACAGACACAGCTGGGCGCTTTGCCTGGCTCTGAAGCCCTCGTTGGGCTTGCAACGTGATTTTAATGGATAATGAGAGGAAGGAAAAGTAAAGGGGAACGGAGCCTTGTGTGGCTATGCTGTTTGGTGTGGCAACCTCGCAGAAGTCTCTTCTGTGGTCCCCACCGGGAAGGGGTGAGGCAGCCAGAAAGCCCGTGCGTGATCACGCAAAGGACCGGGGAGCGCTGCGTGGCCAGAGGATGAGGTCAGCGTTTGGAGAGAGCCGGGAAGGGAGTTGACGCAGCGAAAAGCTGTTCCACCCCGATGGCCTGCTCTCTCCAGCGCGGAGAGCAGCTCCCACGGCTTGGCAAGGGGTCAGATGTTGAGCAAATTGAAACGCTGGGTTGCCAGAGCGCTGGAGAAGCTGGCTGGCAGGGCTCCCCTTCCCCGTGGGAGGCGCTGGGATTGCAGGGCAACCGCACGCCGGCGGGCAGTTTGAGTGTGGCGTTGTCCTTCCTGCCTCCCTGCCAGGGAGAGGCTGGAAAATGCAGCTGAGATGGACTCCACTCTAGCGGAAAAGGGAACCGGAGCACCGTGTGGCTCGCGTTTGTCCCCCGGTCTGCTCTCCCGGCGACAGCCCTGTCTCTCCCGCTAGCACTGACGGTTGCGTTTCCCTTGCAGGTTGGAGTGCACGGGCTGCCCGTTGCGGGCAGGCTCCCCGGCAGGGCCAGCACGCGTAGCCTGGCCGCTGAGCACCGCGCCGGCCCGCCACAGCATGTCCCTCCGTGGGCATGCGCTGGCCC